AGCCTGGAGACAGAGAAATTTGCTCTGGAGAACCAAAGCCTCTTGCTTGTGTTCTGTCTGTCCACACCACCCCCATGATCCCCAGATTTCTCTCTGTCCCACCAAGGGCTAGGTTTAAAAAAAAAAGAAAGCCTCGAAGCCCCCTTTCCGCCCCCCACTTTTGTAAAAAAGGCATAAACAGATGGCTGAATGGACAAGACGGACGTGCCATGCAGATGGTCAGAGCTTCAGCAATGACGTCTCGCCTCAGTGTGCTCCATCAGTGATGGCCTCCAGTGATGTCATCCCGGGAGTAGAACCAGCGAGTGTCAGGGTGCCTTTGAACCCCTCTCTACTGAGAGGACACCTTGACCATCTTAGTCTGGAAAACCCTGGCCCTATCACTCACCTATCAGTCCTGCCATTCGCAAAGGCTTCTGGTCTACATGTCTTCAGTGAAGAACACTGCTGAGTACCAGGCTTCTCACGCCCAGGAAGAAGTGAAGTGGGGGTGTAAGGGCCCCTACAGCATGCCCCAGGGGCAGCAAGTGGCAAAGGCAGGTGGCAATTTCACATGCTTTCTCTCCGCTTTAGACCCATGCTCCTTGAGAACGGGGACTGAGTCCAATTTACAGATCACTCACCCGACTACTCAGTCCTGGATTCGAGACTGCATCTGCAAAGAATTCTTGCAGGGCCAACCAGGAAAGCACGTCACCCAAGAATCCAGGCTGTCACCCCCTCCTTAGGGGTCAGTGAAAGTCACTCCTTAACAGTGACAGACCCAGTGCGTCTGTCTGGGTCTGAGCCACCCCTCTCTTCCAAAAGTAAACATGCCCACTGCCTGGCCTCCCATCTGCATTAGCCAAACTGCGATCGGGTTGAGGAACAGACCCGAGGCAGGCAGACCTGGGGTCACAGCTGGGAGAGGTTGAGACTCGACGCTGGGGTTCACACTCTCAAGAGGACGTACGGGGAAGAGCTCAGGAGGGGGGTGAGAGGGTACAGCTGTGCCTGAGGCCTCGTCAAGGGGATCTGGAAAACAGAACTGTCCTCTTCAAGATGAAGGTGGCATGGCCTTTTCTAGAGAGTTGTGACAAGCTGCTGTTTACCCCAGATGGGGCACCAGACTAAGGAATTATTCCAGCCAAGCTTAGGGAAAACAGTGAGTCTCTTGGGGTTACCTACTTCATCCTGGGTGACCGACTCAAAGGCAGCTACATCACTGAAAATCTCCCCCCAGCAGAGGGGCTTATCTTGATTGCTAACTGATACGGGAGAGCACAGGCCACTGTGGGAAGCACCATCCCTTAGGCAGGTGGTCCTGACCTGTATAAGAAAGCTAACAACATAAACCTGCCTAGCAGCCAGCAGACAATGTCCTCCATGGTTCCTGCCACAGTTTTTTGGGCTCCAAAGTGAGTTTCCTCCCTTCGGTGGAGGTAATGCTGTGTGGAATAGCCATCAGGACTACTTTTTGGTGTCTACCTTCAGTTTCCTCAGTGACGACCTGTGTGACCTGGAACTATAAGC